TGGCCATGTGGTCTTTCCCTAGGATCCTGGCCAGACTTTAGAGCCCCAGTGGAACAGGAGCAGCAGGCAGTCACCTCTGTCAGGCCTGAGGGCACAGGGACTGGGGTGTCCAGGCCTGCATTTGAACTCCCCAATCTCTCATCTCTTCTTGGAGCCAGCATCCTCCATTCCCTCCCTGGTGAAATCTGAGCTGGGGATCCAGGGAGAATTCTGGCGGCAGAACATTCCATCCAGTTGTCCAAATACCACACAGCTGGCGGAGGGAGGGGCAGCCAGAGGAGGCGTCAGGAGCCCAGAAGTTGTGTTGTTTTCATGGAAATGAGGGAGACCTTACTGAGGGAGTAGGGGGACCGGGTGCGGTGTGTCTTCAAACCCTTGCTGACTGGAAAGGCTCACAGGACAAGGAAGACAAACAAAGCTGTCCCCTCTGCTCCCACTTTCCTGCCTCCCCCCCAAAGCCCAAGGTCACCCTGTGGAACTCCTGCAGGAGTAGATCCATCCACCTCAGAGCCTGCCCAGCCAGGTCTGGGCAGCTACCTCTCGCCTTAGGAGTCTCTGCCTCGTGACCAGACTCCAGGCTCAACCTCAGGCAATAGGGGGAGGGCAGGCAGGGGATGCGTATGAAACAGCAAGCCCCGGAGAGACAGCTCTGTTGCCAACTGGCTTATTCCCAACTGTCTCCTGGTGCCCACTCGCCAGTGACCCTGGTTGACTCTCCAAGCCTCAGTTCCGTGATTTGAAGGGGAGAGGGTAAGCTCTGGAAAAGGACTTCACAGACCCTCCCTTCTAAGCAAATGTCCAGAAATCATCATGTTTCTTTGTGGGGTCCTCAGCACCTCTGACTCAGTTTCCCCACTGAGGGTATCCCCCCCATGCCTTTGCCATCATCCAGGCCAGGGTGAGTCAGGGTGGTAGGAGATGCACCCCTCTCTGCACATCCTGTTTTCTGCTAATGGCTTCCAGGTGAGGCCTTGGTTGCCCTGCAGAGGAAGGTGGGGGCACTGGAGAATTTAGTAGGGGGATGAGCGAGAAGCAAAAACAGGAAGGGGGTGGGAGCAGGCCATGGAAAATTCACAGCCAGGAAACCCTCCGCCAGCATCTGGCTTACATTAGGCTAAGCAGGCTTCGGAGTCCAAAGCTGAGCAGAGATACTGTTATCCGCCGGCCGGCTGGGCGGGGTGTAACGCTGGTGGGGAGGGACCCAGAAGGACCCGGAGGCTGTCCAGAGACAACAGTCAAAGTAGAGGAGGAGGAAGTTAGGGGCTGTGCCTGTGACATTAGGGCAGACCCTCCATGAAGGTTACTGCCTCCCATAGGGAAAAAATAGCTCCCATTTAATAGATGAGGGGCTGAGTCCCAGAGAGGCTGAATGATTTGTCCAGTGTCACACAGTCCAGGAAGAAATCTTTTCCATTTTGAATGGGACAAAATGGAATGGAAGTTGGAGTTAGTTGTAAGGCTTGGGTGTGTGGCTCAGTATTTATCTTGCATGCACAAGGCTCGGGCTTCAGTCCCCAGCATTACCACGACCATCCTGCTCAGAAGAAAGAGAGAACATGGGAAACAACTTTGGGAAAGAAAAGGCAATGAGAGCTGGTTGGCTATGCCTTCGAGGCTGACAATTCAGACAATTCATTTTAGGGAAACTGAGGCACAGAGCAGCTGAAGCTACATTGAATTGCCCGTCAGCGCTGGTAGTTAAGGGGCATAAGGGGCTACTGAGTGCCTGTGTTCAAAGGCAAATAGCAGCCAGTGCTAATAGAACCAGGTTGCCCAGTATTTCCGTCAGGGAGGACAGGGATAGGCAATCTCTAGGGATGTGAAGCCCGGGGCATCAACGCTGGGGAGTAGCTTCCTTCCTGCTCCCAGGTAGATCTTGTCCAGCTCACAGCCCACAACCCTGGAAGGAGGCCCATGTCTTCCGCTGCCCGCTGAGTTTCAGGAGTTAATAATTAAGGGTTTAGGAAGATAGAAGCCTGTCTGGGAGGCCCCGCCCGGCCACTGGGCTGCTGCTCCTGAGAGATAGCAAAGGTTAGTGGGAGGCTCTGCCCGGCTCCGCTCGCTCGGAGGCAGGCTCTGCTGCTTGCCCTCCTGGGGGTATCCAAAGGGACCTCAGCCTGGCCCGCAGGCATGGAAGCCTCTGACAAGCCCAGGCAGTGCCCTGCCAGAGGATCATGCCCAGTGTTCTTGGCCATGAGCTCAGGCACTGTCCGCTATGCCCCATCGGGTTTGGGCCCTGTACCTGAGAGGAACTTTAGAGAGGAGCCCTGGGATGCAAACAGGTGAGCTCTGGTCTTGGGACACTGAGGGGAGGTGGGGGGGGGGGATGGGGGTCAGAAGTGGCTTTGAACAATGGGCTGTTTTGAATCTGGAAGAATTTCAGGAGCTTTCTATAGGGTGGGCACTCAGAGAAGAGCCCTGATTGTCTGGTTTAACTTGAGGGTTAGACTAAAGGCAGAAAGGGAAGCTGAGAGAGTCCGAGATACTCATCGTAGGTCACAGTGAGAAACAGACATAACTGCAGAATCTGGGGCTGATTCATCCAGGCTGTCTCCCAAGGCTCATGTGCCTCCAGCCTTAGCCTAGGGTCTGCGGCTAAGGGTAAGGAGCTGGGGATGGGCGCGTGGACAGGAGGAGGTAGCGTGGAAGACGAGACTTTCAGTGGTTGGTGACTATGGACACATCTTTAAGTTTCCCCTCCCCACTGGCTGGGCCAGACACCTAAGAGGAGTTCAGTAACCCTCCTGGGGGTGGCCAGACCCGGCCGCAGCTTCCAGCAAGACCAGTGGCTCTGGGTTGTCTCTTGGAGAAACTGCTGTAAAGAGCTTCCGCCTCACCACCCCCCCGGCTGTGGAACATCAGGCAGGTTCCTCAGCTTCTCTGAGTCCATTCCTTTCCAGTGGCACAGTGCTGCCCGGAGGAAACTGTACGGCTTGGGAGTTCACAGAGTCTAGATGTATAAATGAGAAGATATTTTTGGTTGGTAATTGCTTGCCAGTGCTCTTAGGGTGGTGACCACTTGCTTGTCCTTTGAGGCCTCCCTCAAGGGCTCTCAGGATGAGGCCTCTGCCCCTGGCACCACAGACCTTTGCTGACATCTTCTCCCCGTTATCTGCCACTAATCCCGGGGCTATAGTTTATCTCTGCCTTGGCTTTTAAAGTCTTGGAAGGCAAGGCCCCTGCCCTGAACTCTTTGTGTCTTTTCCTGCTGCCCCTGGATAATAACCAGCACAAGGGGCAGGCAAACAGCATTTGCTCAAGGCTCAGCTGGTGAAGGGTTCGAGTCAACAAAAACATGTTGACATGGCTTTGGGCCAGCCCCTAAGCTGGGCTGGGCTGGGTAGAAGAACACAGGCAGCTCCAAGAAGGGGTTGGTCCTTATCCCGGAGAAGGCACGGCCTGATAAACACTCCAGAGAGTGAAGAACACAAGAGACCCAAGCTGAGAGAGTCTGTCAGGTGGAAAGGATGCACTGGAGGACTGTCCAGGTTCCTCCCGCCATAAGATGCCAGCCGTGGGAAAAGACTTGGATTCCAGCCTGGCTTCCACTCGCCGAGTCCTTGTTCCTATAAGCTGGAAAAGGAGTACTCTATGCTTTTTTTTTTAAAAAAAAAAATATTTGTTTATGTGTATATATGTGCATGTGTGGGTTTGTGCACATTCATGCAGGAGTCCCCAGAGGACAGAAGAGGGCTCAAGATCCCCTAGAGCTGGAGTCAGAGGAGGCTGTCAGCTGTCTAATGTGGGTGCTGGGAACCAAACTTGGTTCCTCTGCAAGAACAATGCAAGCTCTTGCTGGCTGAGCCATCTCTCCAGCTTGACTTTTTTCTTTTGAAAGGAGACACTATTAGTTGGTGAAGATGTGTCCTTGGTAAGTTGAGGCTCTGGCAGTAGAAGCCCTTGAAAGCAGGTCTGGAATCCATAAGTCAAGCATGGTGGCACACACTGTGGTCACAGCCACCGAGGAAGTTGAGAGAGGATCATTTCAGCCCAGAAGCTGGAGATCAGTCTAGGTAATACATGACTCAGAACCCCTGAGAAGAGGGGATTAAAGGAGAGGATAGGTGGGAAGGAAGGAGGGAGGGAAGGAGGTGGGGTTCCAGCCTGGAGGGACTCCTGCTTTTGCAGGGTCCTTAGACAGCTCAGAAGGGGCAGCAGAATGATGGAGGAATGACTGAGATGTGTTCTCAGAAGCCCAGAGGGATCTGCAGACCCTGCCTGTGGGAGCTGGTCCTAGCAGCACTACAGGAGGGATCAGCTATGGGCTCTACTCACTGGATCCTGATCTGAGGCTGAACTTCATTCCGGTCAGTGGTCTGGGCCAGGATAAAAGCAGGGCAGAGCAACTACGGGACAGGTGACCAGTGGCCAGGGATCCAAGCTTTTCACAGGTTTTTTTTTTAATACCTAGGATTGTGAGGTTGGTGGAGTAGTCTCCAGAGCTTAGGATGGCTGGAAAGGCTGGGATGAGCAGTGTTCAGAGGTCCATGGGGAGGGCCCTGAAAAGCAAAATTGGTAAATTGGGCCAAAGTAGTGCTCTCTTGGGTTAACTTCTTAAAGAATGGGACTGGTCTGGGGTCTACTCCACCCCTTTCCAGAAGTCAGTGTCACACAGAGACTGATGCAGAGCTCCGCACTCCAGAAAGTGGTAACAGGGCTAGAAGTCTGAGTGAGTGTGTAGGTGGTGTCTGGCCGCTTTGAGTGACAATCTGCACGAGAATCAGAGCTGAGACCCCCCGGGGGGGGGCATTGTAGGTTCTCGAGCAAGAGTGGTCCAAAAGCACGAGGCAGAGTGTGACTGGGAAAGGCCGAGGCCAGCTCTGGCTGAGAAATGACGGGACCAATCCCGCCCTCGCTCCGCGGGATCACCGTCCCCAAGCCGCTGGAGGGACAGGGCTGGGCCGGCAGAGGGGCGGGGCTGGGCACGTGGCCTGGGGCCGCCTCTCGGGCACGTGACCCGCCCAGGGCAGGGGAAGGGCTGGGGTGGGGCGGAGCCGCGAACCTTGGCGGCCAGCGGGACAGACCTGCCGTGGAGCGATTGACAGGCTGCAGGGCAGAGTTGGCTGTGCGCGTGGACGCGGCTGCGGCAACGCGGAGAGCGGGAACGCCGGGATGTGGAGCGGGTAAGTGCCTGCATGCCCGTGGATCAGCGCTCGGTCTGGGCCGCGCTGGCCGCCTGGAGTAGGAAAACAGGAGGGGTCACCGCTGTTGTTTGCACCCCACTTGAGAGATGATCTGCACTCCTTGCCCTGCCTGCAGCGGAGGGTAGCATTGAGGACACGCTGCTGCCTGAGAGCCTAAAGGACCTTGGCGGGACCGATCTGAGTTGCCCCAGGGTGGGAAGGTGACAGCGCCAACTCCTCCCAGCTCCAATGGAGCTCATGAGAGAAGTGGGGGATGGGGGATGAGGGACGAGTGGTAGTATGTATACCCCAAAGTAAATCTGGGACACGCATTTAAAGGAGGAAACACCCATGAACTCTGGGGAAACAGTGCAATTGAGAAAGCTGGCTGTGTCTCTTCAAGGTCCCTGGCCAGTTGACTGGAACCTTCCGATTCGAGATGGAGATGGGTCTGTGCTGACCGGCAGTCTGGAGTAGAGCAGCACAGACCCTGAGACTTGAGTGAGCCCTTCCCACATCCCTCACCCACTCCCATCTGTTAGGACCATTATTCCTGTTCTTGGCCAATCGATTAGGAGATCCTGCCCCGTGTTCACAAAGGTTGGTGCCCTTTCTTGAATTTGGGCAAATACCTTCTCCCTGGCCTGGCCTGGGGTGTTCCTGCTAAGGACTGTCCCAGGATGGGAGGAAGGAGGAAAGTCCCTGGAGGGTGGAACAGGTGAGATCTAGCTCATCTCATGGGCCCCAGCTGAGCCTGACCCGAAATCCCAGGGGAAAAATGGGGCTTCCACCCCAGCCAGGGTACCAAACCTGAGTTCATGTGGTGTGTGGACAGGCTTGGATCTTTTAGAGGAAGCAGAAAGCAGCAGCCTGTGTTTGCTGGAATTTCACTCGTGGGAAAGAGGTTAGCTAGGCTTGCAAAGTGTTTGGGTGGGTTCCTGGTGCCTGTAGAGATTGAGGCAGTCCTGCTTGGGGATACAGGCCTTTGATCCTGTCTGGAGCTGTGTGTTTGAGGAGCAGCCTCGTCTGAAGGGAGTTGTGAGCCTTTATGCTGGGTGGACCCAGACAGTTGCTGTGTGACCCTCAGGATACAGGTCCCCTTTTCTGGGCTGGGACCAGCTCGAGCTCTGTGTATGTGTGTGTGTGTGTCTGTACACATGGGGGTCAGAGGAGATTCCAGGTGTCTGTCTCTCTCCCTTGTAAGTTCCCTTGAGACGGGGCCCCTCACTGAACCTGGAACTTGTTTTTCAGCTAAGTTGGTGGCTAATATACCCTAGTGATTCTCACTGTACCATGTCCCCTCACAGTGCTGAGTTAGCAGGTACCTATGGCCAAGTGGGATCTGAACCCGGGACCTCATGCTTATGCAGCAAGCACTCTTACCCACAGAGCCCTCTCTCCAGCCCTTGGACATAGGGACCAGTGTCTGACCTTCTAGCATGCACTTAAAGCATTCCACTCCCTGCAGCGGTTTAGAGGGACCATGCTCAGGGTCATACGTCACGAGGTCACTCTATGTGACCCTCTCTAGAAGTCCATGTTATCTCCAAGAGGTATATCCTAGGAGCTGTGGACCCTAGCTCAGGAAGAGTTGGGATCTGGGCAGTCTAAGGTTCCTGGGGCTTAACTTCCTGCTATAAGATGAACTGAGCTATCACTCTTGGGTGTTTGTTCATTGTAGGGTCCTAGGCAGGGATGAACAGAAGTGACTGGATCCTGTAGGAGCCAGGAGTAGAGATCCTTCTTAGGATTCAGAGCATAAACCTTGAACTTTGGGGAAATGGCAACTCTAGTCAGAATTTTGGAGTAGGGGAAGTGGGTACAGGGTCTCACGTAGCATAGGTTGGCCTCAGACTCCCTGTATAGTCAAGGATGACCACCTTCCTCCATTTCCCACGGACTGAGATCCTGGCATGAGCAACAATACCTGGTTTATGTGGTGTTGGCTTGGAGTCTAGAGCCTTGTGTGTGCTGGGCAAGTGCACTACCAACTGAGCGGTAACTCCAGCCTCAATCCTCGGTTTGGTTTTCTTTGTTTCTGGACACAGGTTCTTGCCATATAGACTAGGCTGACCCAGAACTCTTTTTAAAGAAATTTTTATTAGTGTGCAGGGTTTGTGTGTCAGATGGGGGAGAGAGCACCCGTGTGACCGCACACATGTTGAGGTCACAGGACACTTTATGAAGTTGGAACTCTCCTTCTACTTTTACATGGGTTCTAGGAATTGAACTGAGGCCCCCAAGCTTACACAGCAAGCCCCTTCCTCACTTAGCCATCTCACTGAGCCTGGCCTACAATTCTTGATCCTCTCGCCTTAGCCTCCTTGGTGCTGCACTGCTGTGCCTAGCTGTCTAGCCTCACCTTAAGGGGCTGAGCCCAGACTGGGCTTCTCCTCTGTTTCCTATAGTTTCATAGGCGTGTGGTCTTGGCCACACATCTAGATGATGGAGTGAGGATGATACATACATTAAAATTTCTGTACCTAACACAGTCCTGGGCACTCTGAATTTGGTCATCAGAGTCCAGAGTGTGGGTTCTGGACTTTTTTTTTTTTTTTTGGTTCTGGACTTTTCTGTCACACTGACACACTGAGCAGCCATATAACATTGATGTGGCCCTCTGGTCTCAGATTCCCCATTCACTGGGGACCAAACTCTACTGAACTGCTAAGAAAAATAGTTGAGATCACCCAGCTTCCTAGGTGTCAAGGGCCATGCCTTTGCCCCAGGCAGTGACTAGGGAGTTCCAGAGTTGCAATCCTGAGCAAGTCATTTCACTGTTCTGAGCCTTTCCTGCTCAGAGGACTCCTTCCCTGAGACCTAGGTCACAGGGGACTGAGAGCCCCAGGGTCAGGCAGAGAGGCCTTCCCTTTGGGAAGGACTTGTGTAGCCCCTGTGATCTCTCCACCCACCCTGGCCTTTTAACAGACGGAAGCGTCATGCCTGCTGTTCCTTGCCCAGCACATTTGTGTCCGGGATCAGACCAGACCCTCAGTAGAGCCCTGCCGGTCACCACACTGGAAATATACTCAGTAAACTTTGGGGAATGAGGCAGGGAAGGTACAAAGTGAAGAGGGTAGGAGAAAGGGATGCCATGGCAGCTCCTGGAAGCTTCCTTGCAGCTATGGATCAGGATATGGAAGCTGGCAGAGTAGGCGGTAGATACATGCTATATGTCAGTGGTCTTAGGGGTATCTGTGTGTGCGCACGCAAGTGTGTGCACGTGTGCACATGCATGTGCATTTGTGTGTATGTGTGTGTGTGAAATCTTGAATTAAGCGTACAGAAAGCCCCCCCCCCCGCGCAAAGCTTATACAAGCAGAACATGTGGCCCTCACTTTTCTAGGCCTGGCCTGGCTCTTGGTGGAGAGACAGAGGCTTGAGTCCCCCTCTTGGGCTGGTCTGGCTTACCCTGGGGGCAGTAGCAGGAAGAATCTGGCCTAACCACCTATGTAGTCTCTTGATCTCTTCCTCCTACCTACTAGGGTCTGCTGCTGTTCTTAAAACCCTCCCCTATCTGCCCCCCTCCCCTCCATTGGTGGCCTAACATCCCTCCCACCCTTTGCCCTATTCCCCTTCAGTCCACCCTGTCCCTTGTGCCTCTTTGCCTTGGCTCACTGGATTCTGACCCAACTCCAGATCCCTACCATCAGAGAAACAAGATGTGCCCCCCCCCTTTCTACCCCTAAGCCCAGTCTCAGATGCTTGCTGTTCCTGCTGGTATCTCCCAACAGCTGCCACTGTCCTGCCTTTTCCCTTTAACCACCCACAGCACCCTGTAGTTCCCAAAAGCCCGAGCCACCCCCTTTCGCTTCCCTGAAGACCCCCTCCCACTTCCTCATTCCCATTCCACCATTCTCATTTCGCAGTCCCTTGCTTTTAAATTAGCTTAGTTAATCAATTACTGCGCCGCATGCTCTGCCTGCCCTCCTACCCAAGTCCTGCTCCACCCCTGCCCATGCCCACAGACCCCCTATAATGCTTTGACTGTGGTGTGTCCTCTCCCAGCCCATTCCTGCCTGGCAGGCAAGGCAGCCCTAGGCATCACGCTTCACCACTCCACCCTTACTTGGGCTCTGTCTCCAACTTCCTCAAACCCCATCTGCATCCTGCCTCACTTCTGCGAAACCTCCATTCATCCCCGCTTGTGAGGGGCAGGTCACATGCTGTTTGTGCTGTGCCTGCAGTCTGGGTCCAGTTCCCATCCTACCACCACCTCCTTGCTGTGTATTCCAAGCCAGTCCCCAACCTTGTCTCATGCTTGGTTACCTTGTCGTTAAAATCCGACTGCGGAGCCCTTCTCACTGCAACACTGTCATGACACCATAGTGGCTGACCTGGTGGGCTGACCTGAACCTGAACCAGGAACCAGGAACCCTAACAAGTAACCAGTATACATAGAACACTAACCAGGAACCAGGAACCCTAACAAGTAACCAGTATACATAGAACACTAACCAGGAACCAGGAACCCTAACAAGTAACCAGTATACATAGAACACTAACCAGGAACCAGGAACCCTACCATGTACTTGTTGGTTTGGGCCTGAAGACTTAGACTGTGCTGGACTTGTAAGCTGCTAATAGAGAGCCACAAAACCTTTCCTGGCACCGTGATGCTGCCTGAATGTCATGTCTGTCATTCTGAGTCTCCTGAATGAGTCTGAATCCTGCCCCAGTACCATGGCAATGCCTCCCTGAGAGTCAGTTCCTGTAGCTTCCGGGGGCATAGGATGTGTGCTGCCAGTCCTGGCCTCCTCCGGGTCCAGAGCTGCGCTCAGGGCCCCCTCTGCTGTTTATTTAGTGAACCATTGTGGCCTGGAAGAGAGAAGGGATTCTTAACTGTAGAAAGAGCTGCCGAGGGCCATGCCCACTTGCTGAAGAGCCCAGAGAAGGCTGGTTTGTTCAGGCTGGGTGTAGAAGTGTTTCAAGCGATCCTGTTTAGCTCTGGACAGGATCTCCTGACCCAAAGAGGGTTTTGGAGTGTCTGCATGACTAACAAGCTACAGAGTTCAGGAGTTCTCCTTCAGTTATGCTTAGAGGATAGGGACAAAAATCCCTGCTGCCTGCTGGAGTGAGAGTTGTAGCCACTGCATTCTGTTTCCTGGGGAAGTGACCCAGGAGAGCATTTCCTGTATGTGGGGGCCCCAGGCTCCTAAGTCAGCTTCAGGATGGGGGATGCGGGACACCCATCTGCCTCTGACCTTGGCTGGTTTTTGTTTTTTGTCCCCCCACCCCACCCCAGGAAGGGTTTTTCTGTGTAACAGTCCTGACTGTCCTGGAACTCATTTTGTAGATCAGGCTGACCTCAAACTCACAAAGATCTGCCTGCCTCTGTCTCCCAAATGTGCGTCACCATGCCCGGCTCTAACTGTGACTCTTAATATCTGTCGTCCCTAGAAGAGCCATTCCCATCCCATAGTATGCCTCACAGAAGAACATATTCCCAAACTAGGCGGTGGTGGCGCATGCCTTTAATCCCAGCACTCGGGAGGTAGAGGCAGGCAGATTTCTGTAAGTTCGAAGCCAGCTCTGGTCTATAAGAGCTAGTACCAGGACAGGCTCCAAAGCCACAGAGAAACCCTGTTTCGAAAAACCACAAAAAAAAAAAAAAAAAAAAAAAAAAGAATGTATCCCCAAGTCCACCACCTGGACTGAGGTAGTACAGAGATGGTGGATTCCCAACCTACTGGAGATCTAAGGGTTGACATACTGGTTGACGTGTGTGGGCAGTCAGAGAGTCTGGCTACAGGGACCTGTGGAACCCTTTCCTTCCTTCTCTGAACTTTGTGGATCATCAGAACTGGCTTTACAGATGCGAAGTAAAAAGGGAGGAGGGTCTGCAGACTGGAATGTCCACCCCCCCCCCAACACACATGCTGGAGAGTTGGCTTAGTTGGTAACGTGCTATAGCAAGCAAGAGGACCTGAGTTTGAGCCAGACATGGTGGCACACTCTTGTAATCATAGGGAACCAGAGTCAGGAGAATCCCTGAGCCCCCTGTCCAGCCTAAGCAATTAGCAAACCTCAGATCCCAGCTCTTGCAATAACCCTGGAGGGGCAACATCCAAGGTTGACCTCTTACCTCCATATCCATGTACACACATGCATATACCATTACAGACACACAGACACTGACACACAGACAAAACTCTCAATCTCTGGCCAGAGTTCTCATCCAGTACAGCTACCACAGCACTGTTTGGGGGCTCAGGCCTCAAGGACCCTGTGTCATCTGGACCTGCCCCCCAACAATGGTATTGGGAAAGTCTGTCTGTCACACACACTGGCGGCATGGTGAATCTCTGTCCTTATCTTACATCCACTGACGCCCAGTCCCTGTCAATTAGGGCCCAATTCCAGGAGCCTCAGGCCACATGTTGGGCCCATTCCAGAGCAGAGAGAAGGCTGGCCTGGGCAGTGGACTCACTGCTGTGGTTGCTAAGATCTCACTTTCTTTGTGTTCCTCAGAGGGAAACTGAGGCTCAGAGGTTCTTTGAACTTCTCAGGGTCTCGAGGACAGGAGAGGGGGACAGTCTCCAGTTTCATTGGCCTTGTGCTCTTCCAGTGCAGGCTTGGCTGAGCCCCTCCCCCTCACTTCTCACTGTTATCAGTCAGTCAGTCCAGCTCCCCTTCCCCCAAACCCGCCAAGCCGCTGTTCTGAGGCTGCTGGCTCAGGAGCCCCTGATTTTGCTGAGCAAGCGAATCTAGAGGTGCTGTCTTGGCACAACGGCCACTGGCCAGACCTTCCTCTCTTCCCTCTTTAGGGTCTGCTTTCTAAGGGGTACTGTAGCTTGGAGGTGGGGGCTGGTTAAGGGCAGCACCCCAGTGCCTCTCGGGCTTCAGCTTCAGCAAGTGGGGGGCGGGTCGTGAGGCTTCCTGAAGAGGGGATGTTTGTCTGAAATCACACAGAAGGCCAAGGAAAGCTGCATTTTGTTCCTCACAAAATCCAGGGGTGGCAGGAAGTGGGTCTGGTGTGCCTGGGCTATTTGTAGAATCTTGCTGCCTGCTGAGGTCTGGTGCTTCCTCTCTGGTCCGCCTTTGTGAACATCTATCATATTGATAATGCCATTAACGATGCCATGTTATTGATACAGTTCGATTTGCTTTAACTATGTTGAGGAAGGATCCCACTTAACTGCCTCGTCTGTATCCAGGTTTTTTGTCTAGCTCCTTCAATTCTTGGGAATGACAATCATTGGGACAGTCCCCACCTACAGTGTAAGAGTAGAGACTCATTCTAAGCATTGATACATTTATATTCATGTGTCTGCTCAACAAATGTGAATTGTGTTTGGACTTAGTGCTGGCCACCTCTATATACCAAGCACTGCCCTGCACCCTAGGTTGGGGATGGTGGATGACAAAGGTGAATGAGTTCTGCCTTAGCCCCTAAGAGAGTTCATGCTTGGTCACTCTGCCCTTGTGACATTCCGGTTACAGCTTGTAGTGACTCTATTTTACAGATGGACAGACTGAGGCTCAAGTGACAGGTATGTGGCCTAGGCTTGGTCCCTGGGCTCAGCTCGGCAGGTCTTGAGTCTCCAGCCTGTGTGTGCTGATGCCCTTGTTTGCCTTGCAGCCCACCCCAACCAGACGAGGGCCTCCCGACGGGCCTCTCAGCTGTCTCAGTCCCCTGGAAAAACCTTGGCCTCAGCAAAGATCACAGGGAGTCCCCAGGAAGCCTGGTGGAAGCCTCTGCATCCCGGAAGGAGGCCCAGGGTGAAGAACACTCAGCAGCTGTTCCGCTGGATGTGTCACGCCTGCGCAGCTCCTCCATGGAGATCCGAGAGAAGGGCTCAGAGTTCCTGAAGGAGGAGCTGTACAAAGCCCAGAAGGTGGGTGCTCCAGGGTAGGGTTGGGGACTGAGGAAGAGAAGCCAGACTGAGTGAACCCAGATAGCTGTGGAAGGGAAGAGGGGTCATTACATGCCAGGCCTATGCTGGAGTCCTGGGGACTCAAAGGAAGATGCTGGTTTAAACCCAGGCTCCAAGCATCCTAAGCATGCGCTCTACCACCGACGTCTCAGAAGTCTTCAATGTTTTCATATATCTTAACTCATCCGGAAATCTGCTTCTAGCTCTGCTAGGCTGCTGGGCTGGGGTCTTAACCTCGTGCAAGGGCTAAAGTAGCACCGATTGTCAGACACCGGTGAAGTGAGCTGGTGGTCCCAAGCTTCATACCAGGCTGGGGAGATGGTGCCTGCTTAGGGCAGGCTGACAGTCTCCTGCCTGCACCCAGGAGCTGAAGCTGAAAGATGAGGAGTGTGAACGGCTTTGCAAGGTGCGTGCACAGCTGGAGCAAGAGCTGGAGGAACTGACAGCCAGCCTGTTCGAGGTACGTTGGGCAGCCTGGGGATGGGTGGCCCAGTGGTCCGGTGTCTTGTGACCACTCATGCAGAGGTGCCCCCTCTTCTAGGAAGCTCACAAGATGGTTCGGGAAGCCAACATGAAGCAGGCTGCATCAGAAAAGCAGTTGAAGGAGGCTTGGGGCAAGGTGAGACCCATCCCTGTGTATCTAGCCAGTCCTTGATGGGGTGTACTGGCCTCAACCAGCAAGGGCATGCAACAGGTTCCTCACAGATCTACTCAGCATCGGGAACAAGAGAACCAGGTCTGGGACAGGCAGAGTGGGTCTGAATTTAAGTAGCCCAGGGCCTCCAGACTCCATTGGTGCTCCTATTCCACCATGGAGATTTGTTTTGGTCTGCTGTAGTCCAGGAGGACCCAATGATTATTTTAGGTTTACCTTCAGAAATATGGGCCATGGCTGTAGAACACAGGCATCCTTTCTCAGAGCGCTTGCCAATCAGTAAATGTGAAGCTTGAGCTGTCCTTGGCTTCTGGAGATCTCTGAATACACAATAGAAAAGTTCCCAGAGAAGGCCTCCAGCAGAGCCTCCTGATGTGACCAGAGGCAGGCCATGTCTCCTCTCAGCCTTGGTTTCCCTCTCTGTAGAATGGATGATTTAGAGGTTGTTCTAAGGCTAGTTACTGCTGGGGCTGCTTGGCTGCCAGGCCGTGGTAGCCATGGTGATATGAATCCTGCATTGGGGTTGATGGCCATCTTGTCTGGGCCAGATTGATATGTTGCAGGCAGAGGTGACAGCCTTGAAGACACTGGTCATCACATCCACGCCAGCCTCTCCCAACCGTGAGCTCCACCCACAGCTGCTGAGCCCCACCAAGGCTGGACCCCGAAAGGGCCATTCACGCCATAAGAGTACCAGCAGTTCCCTCTGCCCAGTTGTGTGCCCCACTGCAGGGCATATTCCTACCCCAGACAAAGAAGGCAAGGAGGTGAGGCACAAGCTATAGAGGGCTCACAACAGGGAGGGGTGATCCTGCTTAACCAGCCAAGTGAGCATTCTGAAGAGCCAGCTTGACCCCTCCTGTGGGACCTACCACCTGTCTCTTCCCTCTCTGGGCTTCTGGGTCCCTTGAACTGTGAAGGATGGACAGGCTCCTCTGATTCCAAGCAGTAATCTCTGACCTTGAGCAGTCCTAGAACCTAAAGGTCCTCTCTCAGGAAACCTCTTCAGAGATAGACTTCCTATGTTAAGAGTGACAGACATGTGCCACTGGACATCTAGAAGGGACTACCTGGTGTTTTGTGGTTACAGTCTTGATGTCTAAGTCCACCCTGTACTTACGTGCTCGAGGGTCCTCAGCACTGTGCTGAGGCAAGTATGACCTTAGAAAAGCATTTCTCTCCTGCCTCAGCAGGGAAAAGGGGAGGGAGGCTTGGTCCAGGCATGACCCCAGGTCCTTGGGTAGTTGTTAGCACTTCCAATACTTCACAGGCCACATTCCCGCCATCCCCCTCAGGGGGAGGAACTGTGGTGACATGAGAAGACCAGTTCAGGCTGTATCTGGTGAGCACTGGATAGATGTGGAGTGAGATCCAGCTTCCTGGGGCTCTTGCTGAAGCCTATCCTAGCTCAGAACTCTCTCCTGAGCTTATAAGGAAGTGCAAGCAAAGCCCTCTCAGTCCCCTTCAGAGCACTGACTTCTCATTGGACACTGACATCTCCTCCTTCCTCCTGTCTCTATGTCTGTCTGTCCATCTGTCCACCCATCCCCGGGCCCAGCCTGGGCTGCCCCCTCTACTCTCCCTGTTGCTGTGCGTGATACCCAGCAAGGCCATCCACCTCACCTACGAGCCAGCCTGGCGGCTCCCCACGGCCCCCAACTCCGCTTCCTCTCTCTCCTTTTCCCGACAGGTAATGGCTCCTTTAGGGGCCACCTCTCCTCTCCCCTGTGGGATTCACTGATTGTGCATGCAGCCCAGGGCAGGCCATCTTTGCCTCCTCTAGTGGGCAGCAGGGAAACCTGTGGAATGTCCTCTCCTGTGTGCATGTACCTATATGTGCATTCCAGATGTCCAGAGACCCATGGGTTCCTGTGGGCACCCACAGGTTCTTACGGGCTTGCTCTTGGTATTTTCTTCCAAACGGAGTCAGTAGCAGCACTCCGGCCAAGGCCCCAGATCCAAGTCTGTCATTTTACAGTGCCAAGAAACTTAATGTACACCCAGACACAAACTGTGTTGTTCTAAATTCTTTGGTGCAAAGGGCAGACAGGACCTCTTCTTCCCCTGGACTCTGCTCCCCTGCATGGCTGCTGAGGACAGGCCTGATGGTCCCCTGAGCCCTCCTGAGTCTCCCTCCTCGCCTCTCCACTTGCCTTCTCTGAGGTGCTCACTCTCATCCCTGACTGCCCCTACTTGGCTCCCCTCCCCTGCAGGTAGATACGACCCTATTTTCAGAGTTCCAGGCTTGGAGGGCATCACCTACCCTGGATAAGGACTGCCCCTTCCTGGAAAGGGTATACCGGGAGGATGTGGGCCCCTGCCTCGACTTCACAGTGCAGGAGGTGAGGTGGGCTGAAGGGTCCAAAGGTGTGGCCAGGTGGGGACCCCGTCCATTAATTCCCAGTCACCCAGCATCTCACGGCTCTGCCCTGCTCTGCTGCAGCTCTCAGCTATGGTGCGGGCGGCTGTGGAGGACAACACACTCACCATCGAGCCTGTGGCTTCACAGACTCTGCCCGCTGCAAAGGTGCCCACCGTTGAATGGAACACCACGAAGTAAGCTTAGTGCCCTGGGCCCCTTCTGCTTTGGTGGGAAAGTCCAAAATGGAGCCTCGGGCAGCACCCTAGGGGACTAGGACAGGATCCTGAGTCTAGGATAGGATATAGAGCCTCAGGGTGGGTGGGGACAGTAACATTCAGGGTGACTGTCTCCTGTGGTTTATGACCTAGCCTAGGGACTCTTTTTTTTAAATATTTATTTATTTACTTGTTATGTATACAATATTCTGTCCGTGTATGTCTACAGGCCAGAAGAGGGCACCAGACCTAATTACAGATGGTTGTGAGCCACCAGGTGGTTGCTGGGAATTGAACTCAGGACCTTTGGAAGAGCAGGCAATGCTCTTAACCACTGCGCCATCTCTCCAGCCCCCTAGCCTAGGGACTCTTAAGAGATGAATAAGTCCTTGACTAGCATGTACAAAGTCATGGAATCCACTCCCAGCACTTTTTAAAACTAAGCATAGTGATTCCAGCACTTGGGAGGTAGAGGCAGGAAGACCAAAAGTTGAAGGTCATTCTTGGCTATATATAGCAAGTTCAGGACAAGCCTGGGCTACACAAAACCTTGCTTTAAAAAAAAAAAAGTGAAGGCAGTAAACAAGAGAGGAACAGTCATCACTGTCCCCATTTAGGACCAGGAAGTATCTCCGACAAAGATTCCTGCTGCCAACTGGGGTGTCTCTTCTGGCTGGCGTCGTCCGCGCGAGCTCTCCCTCCTCTTCTATCCCGCAGAGATACTGGACTCTGATGTGGCGTATAAGTGGCTGCTAGCGGCTGGCTCTGTCTCTGGCCAATAAATTACTCACGGCCCTGGCAGGCAGTTTACCTGCTCAGCCAGCACTGAGCAGGGTGGCAAAGGAAGTCAAGGAAGACTGAGGGTCAGGCATGTTCCCCGCCCTTGGCATTCCAGAGCTGGCCTGGGGGGACTGGTCCCACAAAGGAAGCCTGGCCACACAGAGGGCACATCTGAGCCAGTTTTACAGGCAGAGGGAACAGAATGAATACAGGCCAGGGAAGACAGAGTGTAAACACCTCAGCGTCAGGACCTAGCTATGGATCGGGGAGCTGGGGTTGAGTCTCTAGGGGTTGTTTGAGGCCAGAGTTTAAAGGGCTCCTGCCCTTTAGGGTACCAGTTCACTAGGTGGGCGTTTTAGGGGTCATCAGCATGTGTTACCGTAAAAGAAAAATTTCTGGTGACCTTTCACTGAAGGTTCAGCCTCCCAGTAAGGAAAAGGCAACAAACACAATCAACTGTCCTTTACTTGGGATTCTGTATTTCCTGGACAATAGGGAAGCTACGGGGAAAGATGAGTTAGACGTGACCTTTGGAGAGGCTCCTGGCTGTAACATAGAGAAGAAAGGTAAAGAAGAGCGTGGTTGGAAGAAGCTGAGGGGATTCAAGCAGAAGGAATGGTGTAGGCCGGGGACATGGCAACCAGGTGCAGATGTGGGGGAAGGAGCCCAGATGTGGGGGAAGGAGCCCAGTAGGTGATGCTCTAGACTTCATCATGAAGGCAGAGACCAGTGGAGGAGTGAGATTTGCGAGTGGGAGGCTGGACAATGGGCACTCAGGACCACAGAAACCTAGTATGTGGGTAGCTGAAGGTGCTAAGTCAGTTTCCCAGACCTGGCTGAGGAGAGAGGTGGCATGGGAGGGGTTTCTTAGTGAGGCCTGGTGGGCAGGGGACGACACAGGGTTAGTTGTGGATATAGGAGGCAGTCAGAGCAGAATTCAGTTAGGGAAAGAATTGATTATGCATAAGGTCCCCAGGAATGAGGGGGGAATTCTGGAGGCTGCAGAGAGGGAGGCTCTGTTATACTTGATATGAGATTGACCAAGCTCCTCTGCCTGTGTGGGGAAAGGAACATGGGTGGGTGGTAGGGGTGTGGGGGAGTAGGCATGGATCCAGCTGTGTTCAAGGTCTTTCCTGAGGACTCTTGCCCCATCCCACAGATTTGTTTGGCCCTGGGCTCCTTTGGAAGCTGGGAGGAGGGGGAAAGGGAGGCCAGGCCCTACTTCCCATCTGCTTCCTGTGCTAATTCTATGTGCATCCTCTAGCTAGTACTTGTCCCCTGCCTCTGTGGGCCTCATTCGGCCCCTTACACTTCCTCTGCTCTCCTCAGCACGTGTGCCCTGAGCGGACTGGCCCGTACCTGCCACCACCGAATCCGCCTCGGGGACTCCGAGAGTCATTATTACATCTCACCGTCATCCCGGGCCAGGGTGAGTCATCCTTCACAAGTGTCACTCGGCTTGTTTGGGACCACAGGGGCTAGAACTCTGGACCGCTGGCCTAGAAGCACAGCCTGAACTACTATCCTCAGAGGTGCAGAGACTGACCCCGACCATAGCCAGGGCAAATGTCTTGATTTCCTATTGCTGTGTGACAAATGACCCTAAATATAGGGGCTTGAGATAACAACCTCTCACAACCCAGTTGCTCTGCAACTAAACATAACCTTGAACTTTGATCCTCCTGCCTCCACTTCCCAAGTGCTGCAATTATAGACATACTCTATACCATGCCTGGTTTTTATCATGTTAGAGATTGAACCCAGGGCTTTGGGCATGGTAGGTAAGCCCTCTACCAGTTGGCTATATCTTCATCCAAAAGGTAATATACTCTTTTTTGTTGTTTTGTTTTGAGACAGGGTCTTTCTATGCAGTTTTGGCTGTTGTAGGACTTGCTATATAGACCAGGCTGACCTTGACCTGCCTCTCCTGAGTGCTAGGATTAAAGGTGTGAGCCACCACGTCTGGCTGTTCTCATTCTCTCACCTTTCTCCTGGGCCAGGAGACTGGATACTGATGCACCAGGCAACCCCAGCCCAGGTTGCAGCCTGCAGTCAGAGCTCAGCTCACGTAGGTTCCTTTCTAAGCATCTGCCGTTGTCGGTAGGATTCAGTTCTATGTGTCCCTGAAAGTCCTTGTAAGCCAGGGACACCCTCAGCTTCTACCACATGGCCTTTAAAAACAGAGTGAGGAGTACTCTGGGGCCACACAGTCTAGACATGGAGTCTTTGGACTGAACTGTAGGCAGCTCCTACTTTGTATCTGCAGGGTGCCCAGAGCCTGTTCTGTGACCTCAAGTCCCCTTTATCTCTTCCTAGCCCAACCCACAGGTCAACAGAACCTTGTGTCTTGCAATACTATATGCATCACTTTCTTTTATTGTGATCTTGGTGTCCGGTGCTGCCTGGCAGAGCTGTGTAGTGGAAGAGACCCGAGCTGAGGAGGGTCTAATGGTTTGCTATGTGATTCTTGTTCAGACAGACTGAGGGATGAGGTGTTGACCAAGAGCACAGCCCTAGGGAGAAATTCTACCACTCTGCCACTCCGTGCTCAGGAGCCTCTTGTGGTTATCTCCTGCCAGCTACTCACCTGGCATCGGAGTTGCGCCATCTTCTCTCCACCAGCCTTGTTTCCCCTTCCCAGCACCAGGCTCAGCCACACCTGGCTGCTCCTATGCTTTCTCACACCATCCTGCCTTTGGCAGCCTCCCCCAACTCCAGTTCCCTGCACCCTCTCTGGCCTCTTGGCAATTTCTATGGGTTTGGAGGCCTAGCAAGAGTGCCAACCTTACCTACAGTCTCTTTCACTTGCCAGCCTCTGGGTGCCTTATATGTAGAGCTCCCCAGTTCCAGAATCCTGGGGAAGGACTCTTGTGGGCCCAGCTACCTGTTCCTTGGCTGGTTTTCTAGATGCAGAGACTGCACGGGCATTTCTGGAACTTTACAATGGGGTGAGGGAAGCAGGACGAGGCGGGGAAAGGAGGCCAACCAAGACAGGGCTTGGCTTTGGCTTGATTCAGAGGGAGTCCTGAGCTCGGACCTCCCTCCATCCTAGCCAAAGAGCTGGCCTTGTGTTCCTGCCACAAAACGGGGCACCATGGGTTCAACGTCACCTAAACCCTCAAAAGCAGTGAAATGGGGCCAGGCCTGGGGATGGCTTCTGGGCTAACAACAGAGCCCCTCTTCTCTACGAGAGTCTTTGGGGCTGCGCCTGTGCCAATGAAGGGTCACCAGAGCTTGGCAATGAACAAGCCTCTAGCCATACTGGGCTCTCAGCTTAGGGACAAGGCAGCCTGGAAAAGCAACTCCAATTGGCTTTCATGGAATTACACGCAGTACCCAGTTTATGTCTGGTGGGCCCAGACTTCCTTGGTCAACAGGAGCAGGTCTACAGGGGACTAAGCTTGGATGCTGACACAGGCTGCCTGATTTCCTCTGTCAGTTTGACCACTTCCTAACTCCGCACTCTACCAGTCTTCATCACTGGCAAAATGTGCATGGTGAGTGCGTCTCGCGTGCTGCATTGCTTACAGACAGTTACAGCAGTTATTCTCAGGAGCTGTGGGAGTCTTGTGACTGTTAATTAAACCTTGGAAGCCGAACTCTAACAGAGTCAGAGAGTGCCCCCTGGCTCTTTCAGGTACCTGGGACTTACTGTTCCAGGATAGGGTCTCCACTGGCTTTTGGAGAGGACCCTAGGGTATGGGGAATCTGGTGGGTCACACCCTCTCCATTCTGCCCACAGATCACTGCAGTATGCAACTTCTTCACCTACATTCGCTACATCCAGCAAGGCTTGGTTCGGCAGGATGGTGAGTGCCCCCTAGTGTTCTTTTCTGGAATAGTTCCCACGGGAGGGCGACAGGGCAGAATGGGGCTGATTAAGTGCCTTCCAGGACTAGCTGTCTGGAAGCAGCAGAGGCAGGACCCTACAGTTCCTTCAGCAGAAGGCCAGCAAAAGGAAGTGTTGTATATTAATAAAGTGTCCCCGATCCTCCTTGGTGATGGGTTCTGCTTCACTGGGGCAGCAAATCTGACACCTTCCACATATCTGGGTCATGCTGCCTAGAGATCCTTAGGGCCAGCAGAAACAGCATTCCTGTTACTGGCTTTGACATTCAAGGTTCTTTATGATGAGGCTCTCCTGTGACTCTTTCTTCTTTATGGCCACCAAAACATGGGTTCCCTGCCTCCTGGGTTCTTCCTTCTCCAGACACAGGGATGCCCTGGGCCCTGCTCATATCTCTGGGTCAAGGTGGGGACATATTTGCAAATACAGAAGTGTAGTTCTAAGCCCACGATGAAGACAACTGTGTGGCAGAGGGTGTATGTCTGACCAAACAGAAAGGGTGCTCCACCACTGCCCTGCCCTAAGTCAGAGGAAGCCAGGGCAGTTGCCTGAAGTGACCATGAACTCTCTCTCTGTCTGCAGCTGAGCCGATGTTCTGGGAGATCATGAGGCTTCGGAAGGGGATGTCACTAGCCAAGCTTGGCTTCTTCCCCCAGGAGGCCTAGGGCACAGCCCCAGGCCTGAATTAGGCTCTGAGCTAGCGCAAATGGTTGCCTTGGTGCAGAAATCCCGGAGCCCGCTTGAGCCAGAAGCTGAAAGGACAGATAAACAGCCAGGCTGTTGAGACAGAACTAAGCCAGTCCTACCCGTTCCTCCTGGGACAGACGGAAGGACAGCCTGCCCTGGACTTCATGAGATGAACCTCTTGCCCACTGGGCTCTGTTGCCACCAAGAGAATTTCAAGAAAGCACCAAAGACCAAGGAGCTGGGAGCCATGTCGGGGAGAGGCTCAGCCCTAGGGAGGGTACCCTTGAGCAGCCAGTACCCCCTCTACAATGTCCTGCTGCTTCCCAATGCTGTTCCTGTCTTCAGAAAGGGATTGTTCTAGGGTGACTGGATTTCCAGAGTGTGCTCCGTTACAGCCTCTAAGCCCTGGGTCACCAGCACCCCCTTGTGGCCATCTCTCACCCTGTTCCCAGGTGACCTCATTAGATGGCCCCAGTGGTGGGGCAAGTGTCTCCAATCTAAACACAGTGGAGGGATAACTGCCCCCAGAGTGCTCTGAAAATGAGTCCAACCCGCCCCCCAGCCCCTCCATTCCTCTGCATAGAGGCCTCTCTTTCTCCTCCCTCCCTACGTCAACCCCATCTCCAGGAGGTCCTGGTCCTAAAATTGCCAAAGGCCTGTGCCCTTTCTTCCCAAAATGTGCCACCAGGGGAGCCTCAGGATGTAGTTGTGGGCAGGGGCCCCGAATGTGGGACTGGATGGATTGGGCAAGCTACATAGGATCCGGACCCTGTTTTACCCATCATAGCCCCCTGGGAACTGGGCTTGGGGTATCCAACCTGGACGTGTCCCTCACCACGCCCCATTTCCTTCAAGTGGAATGTAACACGATCTCTATTTAATAAAGGAAGGCTTTGTTGGTAGGGGCTAGGCAGCAGTGGCCTTCACTCCTGTGCCCTGGGGCTCTGGCCAGGGCTTGGGCATCTGAAGGAATGAAATCAAATCCTTTCCTGACTGCCCTCGTGCTTGGGATTAAACCCAAATCCTGAAGCCACCCCCACTGCTACCACCACTTACTTGCTGTTGGAGTTGTCCTTAGTATTCCAGTTCTGATCTGTGAATCTCCTAGCCCTCAGAGATGACCCTCAGTCAGTCTATTAGCAGCCGGCAGTCGAAGCATCTAGGCTTCCCGGGGCTTGGCAGGACAGTGCAAGAATGATTGGTGCTACCTGCCATAGGGCAGATGGGGACTTCAGAAGTGCTGGATTGGCACTCTTAGATGGGCCATTAGCAAGGCATGACAGACACAAGTGGAAAGGGATCAGGGTAACCAGAATCCCCAGGGACCTCCAAGTAGGCCTGAGGAGATGTCCTGTGGTTCCTGCCTCTGCCCCACCTGTAGGGACCTTTGTGCTTTCTTGTAAGGAGGATGCAACAGATTCTGGGTGGGGTCAGAGGTTGTAGTAGCCTACGGGAACTTCTCTATTGGCCTGCAGCCCAGGTGTAGCTGAGGTGGTAGATCAGCTGGGGGCTGGCCAGAGCTGTCAAGGTCCTCTGCCTTAACGGGTTCTCTGGCCAGTAGCCTGTTCCCAGGACTCTCCTGCCTCCGCTGCACCTTGTTCTCCTGTCCCCTCCCTGCTCCATTGTAACTCATCCTTTCCTATCTTCCCAGTCCCTGTAGACACCTGGTCACTAACCAGACCCCTGTCACATCTACTCATTCATTTAACAACACAGGGCTGATCTCTGTGCTGGACACTGGCAATAATAAACATAGCAGTAATGCATCCAGGTCACTGGATGGAAGAAAGGAGAACGGCAGGGAAGGACTTGGTATACCAGATGGTGGCATCCTCCGTGTCAACACTTGTGCACCTGAGGACAAGGAAGGGGGAAAACCTGAGCTCTGGACTTAATCAGTCCCTCACCTCTGTGTTCCGGGCTGAGCCATGTGCAGAATCCCACATCACAGGACCAAAGAGACACCAGGAGGCACTCCAGAGGCCCGTGGAGGCCCCTACTTCACTGACTACTTGCATTTCTCTTACAAAGCTTTGGCCACGATCAGGCCACAGGTGGGGCCATCAACACAGCCACACCTTGGTAACAGCAATGAATAGCTTAGCAATAGTCATAGCTCCCAGCCCTCTCTGAGCCCATTGTTTCAGCCTCTTAGCAACCTTAAAACACGCTGTTCTCCCTCACAGAATGGACAGAGGCATTGGAGAACACAAAGAGGTCTTAAGGTTGGGGTTTATTTAGCTCAGTGGTAGAGGCTTGCCTAGCAAGCATGAGGCCCTGGGTTTAGGCCCCTGTTCTGGGGAAAAAAAAAAAATCAAAGAGGTCCTAACTCTCTGGGGCCCATAGTATTAGTGTTTTGTGTTTTATACTAAACACTCAAAATGTGCTTACATTTTTTGCCTCTGTAATTGACACAGAAGGCTAAGGGTGTAGATCAGCGGTAGAGTGCTCAGCACCACACACACAACAAAAGAAGTGAGATTGCACCTGGGCTTCACACCAAAACAGATTGTGACAGGACTGGCATTTGAACCATAGGTTTGCTTTCTATGCTATACCCTGTCTGACTGTGCTATCGAACCTGTGAGGTGGTAGTTTGGGGCTCTTACTCTTGAAGCTGACGAGGGAGGTTAACTGCCATCAGCTACATAGTTGTTCTTATATTTTCTAGATAACCCCCTTGGGCATCATAGGAATCATTTGAGGCCTCCTTGGCTAGCCCTGAGTCTGGCCCCTAGGCATGAAGGCATTGAACCTGCCTAAGCACACTTACTTGGTGCCACACCCTGAAATATCTCCCTTTACCATCTGCCAAATCTGCCCTGATTTGAACCCTGCCAGGGCTGTGACCTTGGAGCCAGTTGCTTTTCTCATTTATGAGTTGGGATTGTGATTTCTCCCCACATACACTCTTCCCGCATTCAATCATGCATGCATTCATTTGGTGTTTATGAGTTGTATGTTTGTGTGTGTGTGTGTGTGTGAGTACACACGTACCATGGTGCACATGTCATAAGACAACCTCTGGTGTCGTGTTGGTCCTTGTCCTCCCGAGTCTTTTATTGTTCATTACTGCGTAGTCCAGGCTAGCTTCTGGGACTTTTCCCATCTCTGCCTCCTACTTTCCCATTAGGACCACAGCTGGATCGAGCTTTGCACAAGTTCTGTGGGTCTGGATTCAGGTCATGAGGCTCGCACAGCAAGTGCTTTGCCCACTGAACCATCTCTGCCATTTAAAAACATGCAATCTTGTCCGTTTTTAAGTGTAGAATTATAGTTGTTTGGTATATTCATACTGCCATGAAACCAATCTATAAACCTTTTGCATCTTGCAAGACAAATGCTACGTCCATTAGACAGCTCCCTATTTCCCCTGCCCCTAGACTATGGGGACCAGCATTTCACCTTCTGCCTCTGTGAATCTGACTCCTCTAGAGACTTGCTGTAAATGGAATTATGGCATACTCATCTTCTTTTGACTCGCTTGTTTCATTTCATGTAATGTCCTCAATATCCATCCATGCTGTAAGACGACAGGATTTCCTTTTGAAGGCTCTCCCATGTTCTGCTGTATGTGTAACACCCTGCTGTGTCTGTCCATTCACTGGAGAAGACACAGGCTGCTGGTACCTGTTGATGTGTATGCAAATATCTCTTGGAGACCCTGCTTAGAGTCCTTTTGAATAAATAACGAGAAGTAAGTTTGTTGGCTCACATGGTAGTCCTATTTTTTAGAAGGCCCTCCATGCTTTTCCATGGTGGCTGCACCATTTTAAAGTTCTAGCAACAATACCCCAGGGTTTCAACTTTTCTGCCTCCTGACCAAATTTATTTTATTGGTTTTGGTAGTAACCATTGTATGAGATGTGAGTTGTGGCTCCCTGGGCTTTGATCTGCACCCCAGTAGTGATGTGGGGGGGTCTTTTCACCTCTGCTGCGCATTTCTGTGTCTCCTGTTCTTACCAAGGGGTGTTTTATGGAGGTGTGTTCCACCATAGTGGCCGATAGGCTTGTCGTTGCTGGCCTAAATGGTTCCAAACAGCTCATACATAATTCCACAGTGCCCACGGTCTCCACTCCTCCTTTCTCAAAAGAGTCGCACCCTGAACTACTAACCCAGCTCATGCTGTGATCTGTAACTTGTGTCTCTTTTGCCTGAGCTCTGGGACTGCTCTTTGTTGGTGACTCCGGAGCTTTTTCTTAAAGCCACTGCTTGCCTGTCCAGCTTGCTGAGCCTCCCTGGCATTGCACAAACATCCCTTGGCTCCAGGACAGTAGCCAGTGGCTCTGTAGGGGGTGGCAATTTCAAGGCATCCAATAAGAGGCCTGGGTGGAAGCTCCCAATAGTAAAGGATTCAGCGTGGACAGAGGCAAGGGTCTGCATTCAAGGCATTCAAGGGGACTCTCCTCAAACCTCAAGTTTGCCCCCCCCTCAAAAAGTAAAATACTCCAGTTGGCTGGCTTCCCTCCCCCTCCTATACCCACACACCCTGGCAGTGGCCCAGTGGCAGCTCAGGAATGTCAAGTGATGCCTCTCCCTTTCTGAATGGTCTGAGAGGCCTCAGCTGCCCGGATTTGGGGATTTGGGGACAATGGAGCCTCAAGTTCCTCCAAACCCTGACTCCCCGCAAGGTGCAAGTTCTCCAGCCCCAGAGATCAGAGTAAGAGAGTGACCTAGAGGTGACCCCAAGGCCTTCAGAGAACTAAAGTGGGAAGCTGTTTGTGTGGGAGGTAGGGAGAGGACACTAAGAGTTTAGGCTTTATGGGAACACACAGCTAGATACAGGTGGAAAGAGGGCCCCATACCACCTATAGATTCCATGTGGCCAGAGAGGGTGGTTCAGGCCTTTCCTTGGTTTATCTAACCAGTTTATCTTGCCTTCACTTTGCTGACTGTCCTGGTAAGGCTAGGTAGGACACAGAGATTTTACTTACCCAACCCCCTAACTGCCTTCCATACCTGAGTCCAGGCCAGGCCCCCGGGGAAGGAGCCTTTTGATGGCTCTTGAGCCAGCCATATCATAATACTGAAAGGAGCAGGGACTACACCCTATGGGCCATCAGACTTGGATGCAAGAGGTATGTATCTGTATTCTCTGGAAAGAGTAGGCTCTCTTCATCCCAGTGCTCAGTGTGACCATGTGGGGGCAGCAGTACCTGCTGTCCTCTTTGGCGTGGGCTGCTGTATCCTCTTGGTGTGCAGAAATGGGGTTCCAGGATTCTGAAGAGCCTGGTAGAAAGGAATTAAACTCCTGTCTGCAGCAACATCATGGGTCTCTGGTTGTTCTGGCTAACCAAATCAAGAGTTCTTTGAACTACAGAGAACCAAGAGGTCCCCTTCTTCAAGTTCTGGTCTCCTGCAGCACAAAAGTCATGGGTCTTCCATCTCTGTGAGTTCTGCAGCCTAAAACACATCGTCAGTAGATTGGACATGTTCATAAAATAATTCCAAAAATTTCCAAAATGCCAGGCTGGAATGTGCCACACTCTCCACACGAAGAACGCAGTGTGTTTGTAGGCTGGCCCTGTTGTCACCTCTCCTCATGTCACAGGTCCTATCTCCCCAACATTCTTTAGAGAATCGTTCACCTCTGCCTCTCTTCCTGTCCTGTGTGTTTACGCTTGGAATGGCAGCTGGGCTGAATGCCTTCAGCCTTTTTATTCTTGCCATTGTTCCCTAAACAATGCAGGGAACAATTATTTATAGAGCATTTACATCACATTAGGTATTATAAGGAATTCCGAGATGGTTTAAAGTGTAGGGATGTGTGACGGTTACATGCAAATACTACCTTAGATAGGCAAGGCGCACAGGTGATTTTGGTGTCCACAAGGTGCCTTACAGGCCAGGTCTACAAACTCTTACGCAGGCCAAGAGGAAATGTTAGCATAGTGGAGAAATACACT